AAATATAGTATATAAAATAATCTTTATTTTCTTCCCGCTTTACACTTTCTCTCTCCTTCCCACTCTCTCTCTTTCTCCCTCCCTCTCTCTTTTTCTGTCTCTTTGCAGCCACCGAGCTGGGTGCTGTTATAGCCTCACTCTCGGCCAACGATGTGGACACCTATCCCTCGCTGACCTACCGGCTGGGCAGCGATTCACCTGTAGAGAGGGACAATCTGATGCACTTCAGCATAGATCGCTACAGCGGGAAGCTGGTGCTGAAGCGTCGCCTGGACTACGAGCTGCAGCAGGAGTACCAATTGGAGATAATAGCGTCTGATGCGGCGCACGAGGCGCGCACCACACTCACCGTTAGAGTGGCAGATGAGAATGACAATGCGCCCAGATTTGTGGCACAGAAGCCGCCCGCCTACTTTGCGCTGTTGCCGGCAGCAACGGAGCTGCTGGAAAGCTCCTCCATGGACGTGGAGCTGGTCACGGTGAATGCCACAGATGCGGATGCCGAGGGTCGCAACTCAAGGATTAGCTACCACATCGAGCCCCCAGTGGCCGGGTTCAGCGTGCATGCCACAACGGGCGTGGTCTCGGTCAATATGAGCCACCTGCCTGCCGCTGTGTCCAGCAGCGGGGACTACTTTGTGGGCATTGTGGCGCGGGATGCGGGCAAGCCGCAGCTGAGTGGTGCCACGCTGCTGCGCGTGCAGCCGGATGACAGCGGTGCGGGTCGCACGCAATTCCTGCAGACCCAATATCGCGCACAGATCAGCGAGGCGGCGCCGCTCGGCTCAGTAGTGCTGCAGCTCGGACAGGATGTCAAGGATCAGGCATTGGCCATAGTCGCGGGCAACGAGGAAGCCGCCTTCGAGCTGCTGCCCAACAAGGCGCTTGTGCTGGTCAAGCTGCTGGACCGTGAGCGCAACGATCTCTACAAGCTGCAGCTGCAGCTGCAGCTCAGCCAAGGACAAGGCAACGGTAATACAGTGGCCAGTTCCGGTTCCAGTTCCAGCTCCAATTCGAGCAGCGGCATTACAGTCTTTGTCAGCGTGCTGGACGCCAACGACAATGCGCCCATCTTCGATCCCAGCGCCAAGTACGAGGCAGAGATCAGCGAGCTGGCGCCGCTGCGCTATTCGATTGCCCAGCTGCTCGCTCTGGACGCCGACCAGGAGAACACGCCCAACTCCGAGGTGGTCTACGACATCAGTTCCGGCAACGACGAGCACATGTTCACCATTGACCTGGTCAGCGGCGTGCTCTTCGTCAACAATCGCCTGGACTACGATAGCGGCGCAACGAGCTATGAGCTGATCATACGCGCCTGCGACAGCCACCAGCCGCGGCCACTCTGCAGCCTGCAGAGCTTCCACCTGTCGCTGCACGACGAGAACGACAATGCGCCGCAGTTTCCGCTGGCCGAATACGTTCACTCGCTGGCCGAGAACGAGCCGCTGGGCAGCTCCGTGTTTCGGGCCCATGCCAGCGATCTGGATCGCGGCGCCTTTGGCCAGCTGAACTATAGCCTGGTGGCGGCACCTGGCGATGACAGCTCGTGGCGTCTGTTCCGCGTGGACGCCGCCACGGGCATTGTCAGCTCGGGCGCAGTGTTCGACTACGAGCAGCGGCAGCGCTACAATCTGCAGCTGCGGGCCAGCGACATGGGCGGACGGAGCGCTCGGGTGGCGGTGCGCGTTGAGATTGAGTCGCGGGACGAGTTCACGCCACAGTTCACGGAGCGCACATATCGGTTCGCGCTGCCAGCGTCGACAGCGCTGCCGCTGGGCTTTGTCGTCGGGCAGGTGACGGCCACAGATGCCGATAGCGGTGCGGACGGACGTGTGGTTTACCAATTAAGCGCACCACACAGCCACTTCAAGGTGAATCGCAGCAGCGGCGCGGTGCTGATCAAAAGGAAGCTAGACGACAGCCTCATCGACGACGGCCGCGATATCAGCCTGGTGATCTCGGCCTCGTCGGGCCGCCACAACTCGCTGACGAACATGACCGTCGTGGAGATTGCGCTGGATCCGCTGGCACATCCCAACACGAACCTCGCTTCCATCGGCATTGCCGGTGGTGCGGCGGGTGGCGGCGCGGCCGGTGGCGGTGCCAGTGGCTCTGGCGGCTCACCCAGCGATTGGATTGTCGGTGTGCTAGTCACGCTCCTGCTCGTCCTCTGCGCCGCCGCGGGCATCTTCCTCTTCATCCACATGCGCAGCCGACGGCCGCGCAACGCCGTCAAGCCGCATCTGAGCAGCGAAACGGTGGGCGTCGGCAACTCCAACAGCTACGTGGATCCCAGTGCCTTCGACACCATGCCCATACGCGGCGGCATGACGGCAGCGGGTGGCGGCAGTGGTGCTGTGGCCTCCGGCCAGTTTGCACCGCCCAAATATGATGAGATTCCACCGTTCGGGCCGCATGCGGGCAGCTCGGGCGCAGCAACCACATCCGAGCTCTCCGGCTCCGAGCAGTCGGGCTCGAGTGGCCGCGGCTCGGCGGAAGATGATGGCGAGGATGAGGAGATACGCATGATCAACGAGGGACCATTGAGCCACCGTGCTGGCGCCGGCGCCGGCAGCGACGATGGCCGCATTTCGGACATCTCGGTGCAGAACACGCAGGAGTACCTCGCCCGCCTGGGCATCGTGGACCACGATCCCAGCGGCGGTGGCACCGGCGCCGCCTCTAGCATGGCCGGCTCCAGCCATCCCATGCCCATGGCCATGCCCATGCCCACGCTGCATATGTTCGATGCGGACGAAACGGCGCGCTCGGACATCACAAATCTGATCTACGCCAAGCTGAACGACGTGGCCGGCGCTGGCTCGGAGCGGGGTAGCAGTGCGGACGACGCGGCCACCACGGCGGGCAGCATCGGCACCGTGGGCCACGGCCACGGGCACGGCGTGATGGCCAGCTATGGCGAGGTGCCAGTGCCGGTGCCGGTGCCCGTCGTCGTTGGCGGCAGCAATGTGGGCGGCTCGCTCAGCTCCATTGTGCACAGCGAGGAGGAGCTGACGGGCAGCTATAACTGGGACTACCTGCTCGACTGGGGACCGCAGTACCAGCCGCTGGCGCACGTCTTCTCCGAGATAGCCAGACTGAAGGACGACACGATGTCGGAGCACAGCGGTCACAGTGGCAGCGGCGCCTCGTCCAGCGCGAAGAGCAAACAGTCCCTGGCCCACTCCTCGCACTCCTCGGGCGCTGGCAGTGTGGTGCTGAAGGCACCACCCGCACACATTCCACCACCGCTGCTGACCAACGTGGCACCGCGCACCATCAATCTCCCCGTGCTGGGCAATGCGGGTGGCCTACGCCTGCCGCCCCACCTCAGCATGTCCGGTCTGCCACGTTCGCCCATCGGCCACGAGGCCAGCGGCGGCTTCAGCACCTCCTCGGCCATGTCGCCATCGTTTTCGCCTTCGCTCTCGCCGCTGGCAACGCGTTCGCCATCGATTTCGCCCCTGGGCGGGCCGCCCACTCACATGTCGCACGTCTCTCTGCCACGCCACGCCCCCCAGCCCAGCCAGCGCGCCAATGTGGGCACGCGAATGTGAACCGTGAACTGAACCCGCAATTCCCCCCAAATCTGTGTGATCAAACATTAGAGTTAACCCACTTAGCGTACTTAGTTCTAGTTAGTGCCAGAGACTTGGATTCGTATAGAGCGCAGCTGCACATGCATAGTATTAATTGCACCACAACACATAAGAAATACACCCACACACACACTTACACACATATGCATTATCAAGTAAATACAAAGGTCCAGGCAACACTTTTCAGAGATTTCCATGAATCCTTATGAAGTTAGTTTCCAAAAAGTTGTTCAAAAGAAATTATTTAATCATAACTTATTATATCACTTCAATTATTTAATATTCGCTTGCTTTGTTGTTAATTAAGTTTGTATTAAATTAATTTCCATAAGTCATGATGCATTCATTACGTATCGCATTCCATTGACGAGTGTTGCTGGGAACTCATTAGGCACATCAACATACCAACACCAACACCAAGACACACACACACTTATACACACCGGCACGCATAGCTGTTGTATGTAATGTATATATAGTATATGTACGATTGTAGTAGTAACACGACCACAAAGCCAACAAAGACTCTCTGATAAATATGCTTGGTTGGCCGCCTCGAAGCGCCAACGGGCCGAACAGACAAAAAAAAACAAAAAAACCAAGCCAGCCATAAGTTGTAAGCATTTCTTAAAAGCTAAACAGAAAAGTAAGGAGAAGAAGATAAATAAAGAAAATAATAATAAGGCAGACATAAAACGTAGAGCCTAACGTAGTACGTAACGAGTAGTACGTAAACGATGTAGAGTTAAGCATAGAACTAAACTAGTTTTTTCTTCGCTACGAAGCGCGAACGAAAGGAAACGCGACTAAACGAACCAAGTGCACTTCACCATTAAACATTACCATTTAGAATCGAACAAGAAGAAGAATATAGCAAAAAAAAAAAATGAGAAGAACGCTCGCATGTCTGCCTCCATTCCCATTCCCATTCCCTTACGTATCCCTATTCCCATTCTGATTCCCCCACACCATGATATCGCATTATCAAAATACAGAGAATAATCAACCTGCGATACTGAGAAATGAAGAGAAAGAGCCGAGTGCCAAGGGAAGGCAGGAGGCTGAGGAGGAGTAGGAGGAGTGGGCGGGAGAGGGAGAATTGTAAAAAGTTGTTTTTAGTAATCATTGGAGAGCCCTTGTAAATGTTTTTCCATACTTAGCACGATATATGCACACATATACCATCTACGATATACACGTACGATTAACGATATAACGATATATGCCTTTAGATATTTAGCCCTTAAGTTGTAGTTTCTTAGAAATTTTTCACTTTATGTGTGATGCTAATTGTTTAATTCTCTCTCTACGATCTAGCAAAGCTGTAAAAATCGATATATAAATAATATATGTATATGCGTATATATTCTGTATTCCATTCTAGATCTAGAGCATTATGCTTAAGCCTTAGATTGTAATAGCGAAAGAAACAATCAAAAATAAATATGAAATATACTAAAATACCAGTTGAGTTCTTCTTGCCGCATTCAGCGTGTTACAAATTGCTGTTGTGTTTGTGATTAATTTCCATTAACGTTTCGACAGCCCCGGGCGGTCAGCCACCAAGCAGCACCACCACCAGCTAGCAACCACCAGGCAGCAACCACAAGGACTGCAAATTTACAGACATCGACGAGGAGCTGGAAATGGATTGCCGGCAGAACGCCTTCATTATTATTATTTTTGCAGTTGTTTTGCTTGCATGCCCTTACAGTGGGTATTATAATTATGTCACGCAATGTGTTACACATAAAGGCAGCCCTTGGCAAGCCGATAAGCTATCTCCATCTCCAACTCCATCTCAATCTTGATCGCAATCTTAATCTTAATCGTGGGTATGAACTGTGTAGTTATTTATTTTCGCTGCGAGCACTCCACATATATCAGATGGATGGGATCATGCCTTGTATATCAAAAAGGGCTCATGGAATTAATCGCTTCATCATTTGGCAACTTAAGGTAAAATATTTTAAATAGTTTTTAATCAATATGAAATTGCAGTTTGAAATAGAGTATAGAAACTTCTGCAACTTGGGCAGGCACATGTTGTAGGTGGCAGAAACGTAGCTGAACTCTTGAACTGGCATGCCACATACGCAGCAGCCGCCGACTCACCAACCAGCCTGCTCCAAACTCCGGCTTGTTGTCGCGCTTTGCAATCTGAGTCGAGGATAGGCGGAGGCCGTCTTGTTGAAGCAGTTGCTGCTGCCGCTACTGCTGCAGTTACCGCAAATTCTAGACGTGCAGCAGCCGAAGCGAAGAAGGGCCAACTGCCTGATGAAGGGAAGCAGCGGATTGAAAGGCAGCAGCAGCAACAGCAGCAGGATGGGCAGCAGGAGGAGCACCAGCAGGAGCAGCAGCCGTCCGAGCGACGTCGCACTTTGTCTTCATTTCAAAGCCGTTGCATGAACTCATTTATTTGTTTCTGATTTCTGGCCACTAACACACCTCTCCCAGCGCTGGCCCCCTCGCATGTCAGCTCCCCCCTTAGGCCCTGTCGTCATTATCATTATTCTGCTGCACACTCCTTTTGACCAGTTGAGTTATTTCCATTTGCCAGTTTCGACTTTCGGACTGGATTTGCTGCTCCTGCTGCTGCTGCTCCTTCCACCTATTGGTATCAATTGCAGTGGATCTTGCTTTTGTTTTTGGTTCTTTTTTACTTTTGTTTGTTATTTTCGCTATAGTCACATGGCGTTCCACTCCCGACCGGGTTATTATTATTAGTTGCGCGTCAATTCATATTACATGTAATGCAAACAACTGCAAAACTAGCATCTTTAGCTGGAGGATCAGCTGCAAGAGCAACAGCAATGCTGATGATGATTATGGGTTGCTCTCTCGCCTAGGTATTCATTTTGGGACACGCAGCATTCCTTTTGTTTTTGGGGTGTGTACGGCAGACAGCAACGCGACGGCGGAAAGTGAAAAGCCTTAATTTGTTATAGGCCAAAGACAACAACAGCAACAACAACAACAACAACAACAACAACAACAACAACAACAACAACAACATCAACAGCAACATCAACAGCAACAGGCCCGTTGGGTTTATTTTTAAAGCCATTTAAGTGGTTGTATGGCTCTGTGCGGCTAGGCTGGCCGTGTTTGGCCTGTCTCGGCCTTAAGCACGTACACGTACACATACTAGCCGGGCCTTTACATTGTTCTACGCGTCGGACGGACGCATGGACATTTTTCACTTGGCCTGTCAAATCGGGACATCGACAGCTTTTAAACAGGGCAGCGCCACCACGCCACACCACTGACAGTCGCATGCCAGGCCATGCCCCACTCACGGCTCTAGGCAGTGTGGCATTGGGCTCCAATGCGCTGTTCAGCAAAAGCAAGCGGGTATATTGCGGGGAAATTAAACTTATTTTAATATAGTTCGATTATAGAGCTCAACAATTATTATGGAGGAGTTCAGAGGATTTTAAGGGAATCATGCTAAAAGTTTTAGAGATATTCGACTTATATTTAATATCTACAGGCTGTACTTTACTATTGTACTATGCATATAATTAGAATACCTCCCATCTATCTCAATCTTCGATTTACCCTCAACAGAGCATCTCGCAGTCGAAACAACTCTGCGTCAGCAGTTTTCACAGCAAGCCAAGGGAGTCTTGGGGAACTTGAAGCAGGACCAGTTGGTATGCCTATGCTCTGTTCCTGCGCCTGCGATTTCGCCCAGCTGATTGCAAAATAAGTGATTTGCGAGTTGCCGCTGCCGCTGCCGTTGCTGCTGCTGCTGCTGCTGCGTGATAAGATGCAATCAGTCGCATCGCAGATATAGCTCGCCTGATTATGCCTTATGCCTTTATAATTTGTCAATGCATCAAGCGCACAATAAAGCGATTACGCTTACGATTAAGTTGGGGATTACGATGACGCTTACGATTGCCCATTGCAAATCAGTGAGCAGAGCTAAGCCTTCAAAACTGCATCCTGCACTGCCTCGCCATGCTGCCAAATTCCTGACGATAGCCGGCGGCGACGACTGCGCTTCAAAATGAAATACAATAATAATTTTATTTCAACTCAAATGATCGGCTGATGAGAAAATTAAAGCCGCCATCAACTGGAGGCAGAAGCCTAAGCTCAGGCTCGACTTGCGACTGCGACTGCGACTGCGAATGCGAATGCGACGGCGGCTTAATAACAATTCCATTAGCGGCTAATGTCTTCATTGCAAGTGTCAGTTATGGGGGCGATCCTTGCCCCTGACGCTAAACCGACCGGGTCCAGCAGAGCTGCCGTCCACCGTCTACGTGGCATCGACTGCGTCTGCCTCTGCCTCGGCGGCCATCAGCAGCTTGGACTTTTGCTTAGCTCACGGCTTGGCCACATTCAGAATTATGGCTTACAGCAGAGTCTGCAGTGTCTTGGCTGCATCTCTATCTGCGTCTGTTCGTCTCGCATGTCAGTTTAACACTTTGGCAAATCCTTTGAAGTTGTGGCTGGGTTGATGCGCAGTTTTTATTGTAGCACACGCTTGATTATTGTCCAAAATTTATTGCAATGCGCGCACTAATAAGCTCGTTTCCCACTCCACACACACACACAAACACACACCCCTTGGCATTAGCATTCAAGTGGACAACAAATGCGAAAATAATTGCTACCACGAAAAGATGCTGCGCGGGGTGGAGCACGCAGACAACTGGCGGGGCTTTGGCTAATTGCCGACATGATTGGCCCAAGAAACGCTGCACAACCAACAACAACAGCAGCAACAGTAATGACAACAACAACAACAACAGCAGCAGCAACAAATAAAACCAATCCGCACAATAAAGAGATTTCTTGCTGTTTATATGAGAAGCAAGTTCGTTGCCTAAGTCTTTTGTTTGGCACTGACCATTTCCGGTTCCGCTAGCGCAAAAGCCGTCCCGCTCCCCTTACCCGGCAGTCGCACATTAGCCAGCTCACACAGACGGGAAGCTGGAGCATCTACAGACAGTTGTGCATCAAAGAAAAGATGCGACGCCGCCGCATGTAATCCGATACGTTTGTGGACTCGCACTGCCGCCGCTCCCCACCAAAGATGAGCGCGCTTGTGTTTCAACAAATCCCGAAGCAGCACAAAACCAATATCAATTCCAATTCCAATGCCAATGCCAATGCCAATGCCAATGCCAGTGCCACAGCCGAGGCAGAGCCATTAGAGACTGGACAGGAGAACAACACGAGGAGTTCGCATAATGAAACACGCGCAATGTTGGCAATATAATGGCAATGTTGCTGGCGAATAGATGCGGCCATCCATCCAAAACTCAATTCCGCACAAAGGCGGCCATTAAAATATAATAATAGCTGCCATAGCTGCAACAACAACGACAATAGCAGCAGAAGCAACAACAACAATAACAGCTACTGTGGCTCAACAATTTGGACATGACACACCGCCTGGCTGGCCCAAAAGGAGCTGCGATGATCGAATCTCATAAAGCCACTCAAGCTGTGGGCGGCAGCGGTGAACGGTGCGCGGTGCGCGGGGAGCGGGGCGTTGCGAGGCAGACAGCGCAGCAACGTCAAAGCTAAACAAGAACAATCTATCCAAATGTCCATCTATTGCGCAGATAAAGCTGCACCATCTTCTTCTCTAACTTCTCAGCAAAATCCAGCTCGGCCCTCTCTCGCCGCGCTGGCTCTGACACAGCTGCTGCGCGTGTGTCTAGGGATTTGTGTGAGGCTTACACTTTGCGCCAACCGCAATATCCAATGCCAACTACAAACGGCGGCTGATGAAGATTAGCCTGGCTACCCCAGCTCCATTGAGTTGATCTTGCTGATGCTGCCTACTGACGTTGATGTGCCACCAACAGCAGCAACATGCAGCCATTGTTTCGACTGATCATTGTTGTTGTTGCTGCAGTCGCTGCTGCTGCTGCTGCTGCTGCTATTGTTGCTGTTGTTGTTGTTGTTATTGTTGTCCTTTTAGCATCGAAAGAGATTTGCATTTTATCGCATTGCGCAGCGGAAATAACAAAATCAACAGGCAACAACAGCAGCTCTTTGACGCGCGCTGACAGTCGCGACAGTCGCTCAGTTTTGCAATTGAGGCTTGCAGCAACAGCAACAGCAGCAGCAGCAGCAACAACAGCAACAGCCTTCGAGCTGCTGTTCAGTCATTTTCGGTGAGCTGTCAGTTAATTGAAATATTCGTGCCGTCGTCAATGTCAAACGCTTTGGATACTCATTAAAGCAGCGCTTAAGAAAGCTAGAAAGAGAGGCCAAGAAAGAGAGAGAGAGAGTGAGAGGGAGACAGAGAGCATGAGCGTGAGCAAGTGATATCCAACAGCTAAGCCAGGAATTTATACACAAACGTGTTAATGTGCCAAATGAAATGAGGCAGCAGTTGTCAGCTGCAGATGGGGAGGCAATGCCTTAGCCAGCCAAGCAGCTGGCCAGGTTGCCAGGTTGCCGAGAGGATGCAAGTAGCCCAAAGGAGCTAACCCGCTGTGCCACAAAGTTAAACAGAATCAATTTATAAATCAGCGGCTTTAAAGGTCAGCGATAACAATAACAACAACAACGACCACAACGAAAAGGAGGAGGAGGCATCTCGTGCTGCTGGTGCTGCTGCAGCTTTGGCTTGGCCCAGCTCTCGTCCGCGATGAGCAATTTATTGTGTCAAACTCAATTATACTCGTGTGATATTTTTGTTGCCCACAAAACAAAGCAACAAAATGCCAAGCGCATACAGACACATACACACACCAACACACACACACACACACATTGCTACAGCCACAGCAAAAAGGAGCAACCCAAATTCTCGAAATGCTGCAACTTTGGCCCGCAACAGAGCAACAACAACAACACAAACAATATACAAACAAGCACAGAGAAGTAAAAAGCAACAACGGCCGCCCGCCACCTCACCCTCTTGGCCCCCTCCAACCACAGTGCGGCCACAAAACTGCAACCGAAATGAAAGAAGAAAAGTTTTCAGATAAATGAGCCGAATGGTTTGGCGAAAGGCGCAATTCAACTGCCAAAATAACAAAAGCCCAAAAAAAAAAAAAAGAAGAAAACAAAAAATTAAGCAGAAACAAGTAAGAATGCTGCAAAGAGAAAAGTACATAAATTTCAGATACCCTGTAGACCAAATCTGTAAACCAATGTAACTCTGGTCATACTCTATCGCATGTGACTGGAGTTTTCTCACCTTCCTCAAGCTCACATCACTCTGCCCACAGTCAGACAAGAGGAGGACTGCCAACTCTTCTCTCTTCCATCGGCTCACACACACACACATGCAGCAATTTGGTTACACCCTTTCGGGGCACACCTAATGCGTACAGGGTATGCAAGAAGGGAAGGCAGACAAAAACAAATGTGCTGAGCGGAGGCAAATCTTAAGACGACGATTCATCGATGCCCTACAGCAGACATAAGAGCTTCTGATATTGCTAATTAATAGCTGCTCTGAGCTGGAACACGCTTGAAGATATAGCTGGTAGATACCCTACTATATGGGATATATGATAATATTGAGAAAAAGGCAAGAGCTAAACCATCAAGGCCTAATCAACTCAGCCATAATTGATAAACTTTGCTGCAAACTGCTTTCAGCTCACTTCGTCCTCAGCTCCAGCTTCAGCTTCAGCTAGTTCTTTGGACAGTGTATATCTATCGCCTGGCGAGCTCATTCATTTCCAATTGTAGCTCATTGGCAGCCATTGCCGACTGCCAGCCACACAGCCGAAAACAGAAGTCGACCACAGCAGCCGCACTGCCGTGGAGCACTAACAACTGCCCTCGCCCGCTGCTCCTGCGGCACCCTTAGCTCCAGCTGCTGCGCTCCTCCAGCTCGTCGTTCCCTTTTGCGGCGGCTCGCGACCAGGCAACACTCACTTTTTGTGCACTGGGCAGCCAAGAATTTTACGTTGACACTTTTAAGTGGACATCAAGCAGTTTGCGCATATTTGCCCCACCAGCACCGCCCGACCGACCCGATGCCCGACGGGCTCCCTCGCCGGCCAGCAGTCGCAGCTGCAGAAAAGTTTCGGCTTTGGTCTTTTGGAAATTTACAGTTGAGTCGCAGCGGAGCCGAGTGGTGCAAGGCGGTGGTGGTGGAGTGGTGCAGCGTGCGAGTTATGCGATCTTTGGACTCTTAACGATTCGCCTTTGTTGTTGGCAACTCTTCTGTTCTTTTTTTTTTGTTGCTGCTCTCGCTGCCTCTCCCTCTCTTCCTTTCTCTCTATATCCCTCTCTCTCGCTCTCTCTCTCTCTCTCTTTTGATTTGGGCAGTTGTCTCGTCCTGCGCTGGGTCAGAAATTCAGTTAATTTAGCAAGAAATGTACAAAAGTTGTCAGTGGTGCGGCATAGCAGAAATGAGGCTAGAGGTCGCCGAGACACACACACAGAGAGTGAGGGAGGGAGGGAGAGAGGAGAGAGGAGAGAGACAGGACTGTGAGACTTTCAGATGCTTCTATTGGCATCGATTGCATGGCAAATATGCGAAACAGTTGCATCAAAAGGACACAATTAGGCAGCGGGATCGAATGCAGCGGATGGGCCTCATCAAAGCGGCTTAGCCGACAATAAATCTTCAACGCATATATACCGAAAATCCACGCGGAATTTTTATTGCTTATTATTGGTCAGCTTGGAGCCTGGGATCTGGCATTTCGCAGAACCAACAACAACAGCATCGGGGCACTGGGCACTGGGAACAGCGCATCGAAAGTATCGAATTTCATTTCCTGTGTCCAGCCCAGCGTCCTATAGAAAGCAGCGTTCACTTGTCATTATAATTCCAAACAATGGCGAATGCACGTTGACCTCTGGCCACATCCCGGCCACCCCTTTGGCTGATGCTTCATACATATACATATATACTCATATATATGTAAGTATATAGTTGTGAAATCAGATCCTTGTTGAAAATCATTCGCACAATCGGCGCACACAAATCGTAACGATTTCTCATTTTAATCAATTAAAAAGTCAACGGCCTCCCCGACTCAGAGAGTCAGAGAATCAGAGACTCAGATACAGATACAGATACAGATTCAGATTCAGAGTCGGCCGATCGGAGGCTAAGGTGATTCTCCATTGCCGATTTCGCCAGCTAACTGTAAATCGCTCTGACACTTGCTGAAAATATGCCCAAAAAACATTCCAATCTGAATGTGAGACGCAGTTGGAGTTGGACTCGCAGTCGGACTCGGCTACGGACTTGTGCCCTTGCATTTTGTTTGATTAATGAGGTGAAATGTTGTGAAATATTGTCAGTTGTTTGTTTTGCCGGCTGGAGCTGGCGTGAGAGACGCAAGACGAGAGGCGAGAGGCGGAGGGCGCGGGGCGAGAGGTGGGCTGCCAGCATCATGTCGACAAATCAAATGGAAATCAATACCTACATGAAATTTAACGCCTCGCCAACGATTCCCGTTTGTCAGCTCGTTACAAGTTTTGGTTGCCGGCAAATGAGAGACGCCCCCGTTGACAACATGCAACACCTGCCCCCCTCCCCTTGCGACCGCCACACAGCTGCTCCCAAATATGGAGAGACAACTGCAGTTGCGGCAGTTGTCAAGAGCAGTCAAAAAATGCAACCAAATACAAATAAAAGAATTGCCAAATAACAAAAATAATAAATAATATTGAGCTGCGAAACAGTAAATGACTTGAAGATACCCTGTACATTGATTTAGATAGCAAATAGTGGTCTGAAATGTAGGATTACTTTTACAATGGCTCAAGGGTCTCCAAGTTTTAAAAAGAAAATATGTCTGGGCAGCTCTTCAGCTCCTCCTTACCTAAGCGTCTCCATATAAAAGCTCGTAATGGCAATGATTACTTTAACAATACAATGAGAATACCCTACAGTCTAATGTATATTAGGTAATTTAATCTCAAGCCAAACATGCCATCAAAATTTAGCTTCAATGAATATAGATCCAAGTTCTATTACACCCATTTAAAACGGCATTTTAATGCGCTACAGGGTATATATGACAGGGTAAAGTGTGAAGCATGTAAACGTCACTCGATCGTGTCGATTCGCTGCAATTGGAGTTGGAATCGGAGCTGTGGCAACCGGAGACCCACAGCTGCAGGTGTTCCCAGAGTGAGCGCTTGGCAAATAGCTGACTTTAGCTCTGCCTGGCAGCCTGAGTGGGGCTGGGGCCTCGGCTGAAGCGTGAAACGCGCAATTTGAGGTGAAACTAAATCAATAAGCACACGGCGTATACTTAATCAAGACATAATGCGCGCCCAAAACCTCCAAATCAGAGACGACAACAAGCGCTGGGCGTAACCGAGGATAAACTGCCAACTGGCGCAATCTGAACAATCACCATGATTAGACGAACAGCAGCAGCAGCAGCAGCGGCAGATCTTGAGCCAGCGATATGAATATTCATGCCTCTAATCAGTTGCGCCCCGTTTAGCAATCGATAACGACAATCGATTGCTGGCGAAAGCGTTGCGACGCCTTAACAGCGAAACGGCTTGCAGAAACTATTTCCTAGAGATTCATAATCTATTAATATCTTATATTATGTACATATGAAGGTATATATTTGAGGTGTACTTTAACTTACATTGAAAGCGTTTAATCAACCTTTGCACAAAATGTTTCAAAATACATTCTTATTACTTTCTTAAGATAATTGATATACATGAAGATATATATGTCGGAGATGATAGTATTATTCGAATATAATATCTTATCGATATATCGGCTCATGCATAGTATTGGGTAATATTGATTGAGTGATGTTAGTTAACACTAATATCGAGTGTGGTCCTGACGAGGTTGCCAGTTGGTTGCGATGGATGTAATCGAACGTGCTAGTGAAAACTCAGACAGTTGATTAGCAAGAGGAAGAAGGGCAGCACTGCAGGAACACGCTGCACTCCACAAAATTATCTAATCTGGAGAAATATCCGACATATACATAAATGTAGTAATATAGCTAAATACACATGATATGTTTGAATTATATTCATAATGTATTTGTTTACTATCTTACACAAATAAACTATAAGATTGTAATAATAGTAGTAGTAATAGTAGTAGTTGTAATATAAGTAGTAGTAATAGCCGTAGTAGTAATAGTAGTAGTATAATTAGCAATAATAGCATAAGTAGTAATAATAGTAATAGCAATAGTAGTAATAGTAGTAGTAATAATAGTAGTAATTAATTTTTGGTTCACAATCCTTAATCTTATTATTATATATGTATTACATCGTCTTCAATTTAAGACTCGTCAAATTTACCTACTTGATATTCCCCTTCCCCTTCAATCCTCCTTACGCAGTCCATTTTCTAAGAGGATCGTTGTTCTCTGACATAATTCGAAATTTAACTGCATGGTTAGTCATTCATGAGCGGGAAGCATTCGATTACCATAGAAGTAATAGATACTTATTTGTAATATACTCATAGTATATGCAAAATATGCTGAAAGCTTAGCAATAATATATTCTATTCTTTGGCTACTGCTCGACCCAACCCAGCCTCATTGATCCCAAAGCCTGAAGCCGTTGCAGAGAGAGAAATATTATTATCTAACGAAGCTGTTTGGGCTTCCATTTGGTGTTTTGCTTTCGGAATCCCCTCACGAAGCTGGCAAACAGTTGTTGACCCAGTTATTGGTTTTTAGGCTTGAATAAATATGGGACTGTGGTTCAGTGGTTCAGTACGGCCACATCTGCTGTCTGCCGTCCGTCGTCTTCTGTCTGTCTGGCTGCTGCTGTCTGCTGTGTTAGCTGTTAGCCGGCAG